TGGCTTAAAAATAACACAAATTGATTATCGTACAGTTCTGGAAGTCAGAAGTGTGAAATGAATCTTATGAAACTAAAATAAGAATTTGTTCTTTCTGGAGGCTCTATGGGAAACTCGGTCCCTTGTCTTTTTCACTTTCTAGAAGTCATTCACATTCTGGACTCTTGGTCACATCACCCTAACCTCTACTTTGGTTGCTGAATCTTCTCTAGCTCTGACCCTCCTGCCTCCCTCTTACGGAGAGCCTTGTGATTTCTTTGGGATGAATAATCTACGATAATCTTCTCATCTCAACATCCTTATTTAATCACACTTGCACAGTTTCTTTTGTCATGTAATATAACATATTCGGCCGGGCGCGGTGGCTCAAGCCTGTAATCCCAGCACTTTGGGAGGTCGAGACGGGCGGATCACGAGGTCAGGAGATCGAGACCATCCTGGCTAACATGGTGAAACCCCGTCTCTACTAAAAATACAAAAAACTAGCCGGGAGAGGTGGCAGGCGCCTGTGGTCCCAGCTACTCGGGAGGCTGAGGCAGGAGAATGGCGTAAACCCGGGAGGCGGAGCTTGCAGTGAGCTGAGATCCGGCCACTGCACTCCAGCCTGGGCGACAGAGCGAGACTCCGTCTCAAAAAAAAAAAAAAAAAAAACAAAACATATTCACAGACCCTGGCAATTAGCATGCAGATGTCTTTGGGGGACCATTATTCAATCACACACTAAAAAATGCCTTATGTGTTTCGTGGGGGGCTGGGGGAATCATTTCAACATCTAGGTGTGTCTTTGTGTTTCCTTCACGACTGTGATTTAAGCTCCTTGAAAAAAGAGACTATCATCTCACAGCTGGCTATAGCTCTCTGGCACAGCCCACGCCATGTGTCCTCCCATCTGCAGGGTGTGAATTTAAGAGATCTCTCCCTTAGCTCTGACCTCTCAATCCCCAACTGCTCCACAGGAAAAGAAACTGCCCTCAACCATTATTGGAAGAAAAGCTTATTATTCCATCATCAGAGATGAAGCTAAAAATATAAATAGTATCAGAAGCTATAACGTTGACCTTCGAATTAGACAAATTAGCAAAAATATCAAACCAGTTCTGATGACAAAAGAAAAGAGCCCTGGGTAACTGAAGAGGCTGAAGGAAGGAGTAGGGAACACAGAAAAATGATATTGAGAGTTGGGACACTCAAAATAGAATTTTCTTTCTTCACAATTTTGCCAAAGTTGAGGCCTACTGTAAATAAAATTCTGGTCATCATTAGTATTGTTCACCAATATTTTCAGTTCCTTTTCTTCCTGGCACATAAGATTGCTATTTCCAAATCCTTGCAGTTATATGTGGCTAACGGACATCTAAGGCAGAGGTACAACATGACTGAAGTGACACGTGTCACATCCAGGTAGAAGCCTTGGAGAGCGGGTGCCACATTCCCTGACACTTCCAGAGTAACCGACAATGCCTGACACCATGGAGCCTCCATGAGCCTGTGCACCTGAGGACTAGGATATGGGGAAGGGCCTCCAGTTGACCTGTGATGGTCATAAAGCATCAGTAAAGAATAAGCCTTTGTTGTTAATAACCACTCATATATGAGGGTTTACTATATTGCAGCTAACAGAGTCTCTCCTGACTGATATAAAAATCTAGTTCTTTTCTGGTTACAGTGACTGTTGAAGGAGAACAATGAGGAAAGGGAAGGGTGGTTGGATATCACTTAGTGGCAATAGATTTTTTTCAAACTTCCACTAAGAACGTTGCATTAAATGAAAATGAACACTGTTCTGGAAACCTGAAAGTGTAATGTAACAAGGATATATACAAGGGCTTTATAAATTGTGAATCACTTTGCAAATGCTAGCTAAAACAATATTTATTTATCATCCACAATTGCAGCCAAGATTACATGTTTTCTCCTTTTGTAAGTCCATAATATTTACCTAACTCTCACTAAAGAAATACTTAGTCACACTGTATGTAGACAATTCAAAAGATCAGAGACAACTCTTCTAATTTATGTGTCAAAACAAATATCCACAAGAAAGACTAAGGCCACTTGACATAATATATACAATTCAAGATGAATGCTTCTTTGATGTGTGTGTGTGTGTGTGTGTGTGTGTTTGGAACAGGATCTTGCTCTGTCATCCAGCCTGTAGTGCTGTGGCACAGTCAGAATTCACTACAGCCTCAACCATATTGGCTCAAGTGATCCTCCCACCATCAGCCTTTTTGCTAGGTGGGACTATAGGCACATGCTACCATGCCCAGCTAATTTTTTTTTTTTTTTTTTTTTTTTGTAGAGACAGAGGTCTTACTATGTTGCCCAAGCTGATCTCAAACTCATAAGCTCAAGTGATCCTCCCGCCTTAGCCTCCCAAAGTGTTGGGATTACAGGTGTGAGCCACTGCACCTGGCCTTGCTAATCTTTTTATTGTTCACAACTTCTAGAAATAGTATAGGAGATCCAAGCACTAGTCTCCTGTTGTCATGGATAGAGAAAGTGGAGAACAGAGCAGGATAAGTGGCTTGTTTGGGACTAGACAAGGCTGTCACTAAGTGACTCACTACTTCAGCCCTTTGCTCCTCTTGGCACCTGGACCAGCAAAGGCACACATGTTCTGTAATTGTTTTGTTCCTGCCAAACCTGTTATAAGAAATAAACTTGGAGCACCCAGGAGTTTAGCAACATATTATCATCTTGGAATGTGACATTATTAAACCCTCCTAATCCCCACGTCTACAAAATTAAGTAATCCAGAGCATGTTTTCTAAATGGAAATGGAAGTGTATACAGGCTTAATCATAAAGAGTTAATTTTTAAGCCCTTAAAATTAGAGAAATGACAGTGACAATATAAATTCTTCTTTTTATCACTTCCGGGGTGAAGCTTGTTTAGAGCAGCTAGCACTGGTTACAAGGAATAGCCATGTCAGATTGAGGAAATCGCAGCTCTCACCTCTAGTTACTGGCAAAACAAAGTCTGGACTTCGTCTCTAGAGGCAGAGACTGGAACTTGATCTCTTAGCTTCTGGTCAGTTCTACTGCTACCAAACAAGGCATAAGCAAGATTTCCTTCTCTGGATTGCCTTTGGGATTGACTTTCTGTTCATCCTGTTTAGTGAGTCTCCTCTGTAAGGAGTCTTCAGGGTTCCAGGCACTCTGAGAGCTGTTACTCACTCCAGGGCTCCTCTACTGGAGGCCACAAACTGTGGTCCACGTACAAGGTACAGCCACACCCCAGGGTGCTGTCGGAGTCCGGCACTCACAAGTTTAAAATAGTCACCTACTTGGTTTCACCTCAGGTCACTGTTACTTTCTTTTAGCCACCTATTCTTTAGAAGACAAGTTCCCTTCCTGATTTCTGACCATTCTCTTCTTGACAAGGTCAACTTCCATAGTGCTGCCTACCTTCCTCCTTTCCTGACCCAAGCTACTCTTTCCCAACTTTTCTCAGATCCTTTCTTGAAACAGTTTTATTTTGCACTGTTACATTCCCTCGTGTTTCCTGAAGGGTGCACTTCAAGTAAATGTCCGCAATGACAAAGCAACTGTATCTCTGTAACTAATTCCAGCCAAAAAGTTCTTCCTAAATCGAGTATAATTAGGAAAGAAATTATGCACATATATGACATTCCTTTCCTGGGATGGACTGATGATTGTTGGAAATATTTTATTAACTCATACCCTCCTTTATTCCCAAAAGGATTCAGGGCTGCATCTTTCCATGCCTTTTTTGGAGTGTAGGGTAACATATGCTGCTGTGGTCTGTGAAAACGATGGGCAGAGGCTGGGCGCGGTGGCTCACGCCTGTAATCCCAGCACTTTGGAAGGCTGAGGTGGGTGGATCACAAGGTCAGGAGATCAATACCATCTGGCTAACACAGTGAAACCCCATCTCTACTAAAAATACAAAAAAATTAGCCAGGCTTGGTGAAACACACCTGTAGTACCAGCTACTCGGGAGGCTAAAGCAGGAGAATCACTTGAACCCTGGAGGCAGAGATTGCAGTGAGCCGAGATTATGCCACTGCACTCCAGCCTGCGTTACAGAGCAAGACTCTTGTCTTAAAAAAAAAAAAAAAAAAGGAATGGACAGCTCTTGCTTTACTAAGGTTTCCATTCTTGTTTTAAGAAATAGCAAAGGGTTAATATTAAACTCATAATGCCCTTGAAATCTTGTGTAAGTAATCTTATCCTAGAAAAAATGACCTGTATTTCAATTGATATTAGATGGGTGAATTTTCACATGTAAACCTTCCCTAGGTAAGCAAAAGAAAAGGAAGATACCCAAAAGACTCAGATAGGAGAGAGAGGGTAACTGCTGAAGAAAGCACATCCTTTCTAGGATTTTATGTGGTCTGGATCATTAAAATTGTCTGAATTTTTGTTGCTTTCCCTGCCATTATGATTTGAAAAGGCTTGTTGAGATGTCCTCTCTACCATACTGGATAAAATAAAGTCCTTTGACTGGACTGTTCAAGCTCAGAGAGGCCAGGTACTTAGGTGTGTGACCTTCAACTGTTTAATAAATAGAAAGCAATGAAGACTGCCTGAGGTTACAGATCATTGAGATGAGTTTTAATCACCCTTTTGGGGAGACACAAGCCAAAGCATTCAACAAAACTACAACTGACTGGCTCTCTTGAGTTTAGAACATGAATGTCTCATTTCCATAGCTCTCTTAGTTCATCTCTTAGATTAAACACAATGTTTAAATTTCCTAAGATCTTTTTGCCATGAATTTCTCCCAAACTCTTAAGTAAAGACAGTATCAGCAGGGAACAAGGTCAGCCCACTCTTTCAAGGAAGCAGTTTTCAGAGAACTATGGAGACCCTTGTCAGCACTAGGAAGGATTCGTGAAGTTTTATGATTGCCTCTTTACTCTTTCCCACGTGTGATCAATGACCAGAGATGAAGTAAGTCCTTCTCGGGGTGGGACAAGAGGCATGTCTAGGGCTTGTTTCCTTATAATTTTGTCTTTCATTTACTTTCTGTAGTTCTGCAGCCAGTTCATAGGACTCCAGGGACCTTAAGACTGAAGCACATTCTACAAATAAAGTCAAATGCAGTGAGTAATCTCAGCTCAGTGCAGCTGAGAGGGCACGGGTCAGGCCTGGAAGTCATCAGATGAAAAATCAGACCAAAAATTAAAATGAAAATACTGGCAGCTAGTGAAATACCAAAAAACGACAATTTCTTCACTTGGTCCTCCCTGCCTTTCCAGACCATGATCTCTCACGCTGCATTCAACTTGCAAGGAGATCCTTCTCTATGCAGAGATCATACAGGACTTCAGGTGCTTGCGAGAGCATATGGTGTGTTCTTTGCCCCTGGGAACCTTCTCTTTCGGACATCAGCTGAATCCTTACAAGCCCTAGTGTTGCTTTAGTCCAGACTAAGTGGATCACCGTCCAGGGAATCAGACCTATCGATGACTCTCAAAATTTCACTAAAGGGATACTTATACAAACATCAAACTGCAGAGTCATTTATCAGCTCTGTGTGCAGATAAATAATCATCCAGGGAGAGGATATTTCAACCAGAAAAGATAAGGAACTTTAGCTAAGCTGTCTGAAGAAAGTCAGTGAAGGTTGAATAAGGATAAAGGGAGGCCTCCCTATTAGGACATGAAGGGAAAAAGGGAAATTCCCCAAATAAGAAAAAAACTGGGACAAGGCCAGTCAATTACAGAGACTGCCCTGAAAAGACTGGCCAATGTGAGCTGACCCTGGAGCTGAGACTAAAAGTGAAATGCCAAAGTCTGTTTCTCAGAGGTCAGCTGGTGCCTGAGACCAGCATTGGGGTTATTAGGCCATAGCTGGAGCCTTGCTGGCTCAGCCTCACTCCCCAAAGGGCCATTGCTGTCCAATAGGCCAATAGTTGCTAAATCCAACTGAACAAGATGAATTATATAATCTTTCTCTGTGGGCGTTTTATGATTAGATAAGATTTGCATAGAGACTTCAGGAAGGCCACCCTTAGACTTTGGATTAATAGTCACTCTCTCATAATTGTATGCATTATCTCCTAGATAGAATTCACCTGATTATAAGGGGAAAAAAGAAGTGAGATAGTCTGAAAAATACTCAAAGACATGCTGCCACTTAATAAAAGCTAAAAGTTTCAGCCTAAACGTTCCTTTTTATTTTTTTTTATTTTTTTTTTATTTTTTTTTAAATTTATTTATTATTATTAAACTTCAAGTTGTAGGGTACATGTGCACAATGTGCAGGTTTGCTACATATGTATACTTGTGCCATGTTGGTGTGCTGCACCCATCAACCCGTCATTTACATAAGGTATAACTCCCAATGCAATCCCTCCCCCCTCCCCCCTCCCCATGATAGGCCCCGGTGTGTGATGTTCCCCTTCCCGAGTCCAAGTGATCGCATTGTTCAGTTCCCACCTATGAGTGAGAACATGCGGTGTTTGGTTTTCTGTTCTTGTGATAGTTTGCTGAGAATGATGGTTTCCAGCTGCATCCATGTCCCTACAAAGGACACAAACTCATCCTTTTTTATGGCTGCATAGTATACCATGGTGTATATGTGCCACATTTTCTTAATCCAATCTGTCACTGATGGACATTTGGGTTGATTCCAAGTCTTTGCTATTGTGAATAGTGCTGCAATAAACATACGTGTGCATGTGTCTTTATAGCAGCATAATTTATAATCCTTTGGGTATATACCTAGTAATGGGATGGCTGGGTCATATGGTACATCTAGTTCTAGATCCTTGAGGAATCGCCATACTGTTTTCCATAATGGTTGAACTAGTTTACAATCCCACCAACAGTGTAAAAGTGTTCCTATTTCTCCACATCCTCTCCAGCACCTGTTGTTTCCTGACTTTTGAATGATCACCATTCTAACTGGTGTGAGATGGTATCTCATTGTGGTTTTGATTTGCATTTCTCTGATGGCCAGTGATGATGAGCATTTTTTCATGTGTCTGTTGGCTGTATGACTGTCTTCTTTTGAGAAATGTCTGTTCATATCCTTTGCCCACTTTTTGATGGGGTTGTTTGTTTTTTTCTTGTAAATTTGTTTGAGTTCTTTGTAGGTTCTGGATATTAGCCCTTTGTCAGATGAGTAGATTGCAAAAATTTTCTCCCATTCTGTAGGTTGCCTGTTCACTCTGATGGTAGTTTCTTTTGCTGTGCAGAAGCTCTTTAGTTTAATGAGATCCCATTTGTCAATTTTGGCTTTTGCTGCCGTTGCTTTTGGTGTTTTAGACATGAAGTCTTTGCCCATGCCTATGTCCTGAATGGTACTACCTAGGTTTTCCTCTAGGATTTTTATGGTATTAGGTCTAACATTTAAGTCTCTAATCCATCTTGAATTAATTTTCGTATAAGGAGTAAGGAAAGGATCCAGTTTCAGCTTTCTACTTATGGCTAGCCAATTTTCCCAGCACCATTTATTAAATAGGGAATCCTTTCCCCATTTCTTGTTTCTCTCAGGTTTGTCAAAGATCAGATGGCTGTAGATGTGTGGTATTATTTCTGGCACCATTTATTAAATAGGGAATCCTTTCCATTTCTTGTTTTCAGGTTTGTCAAAGATCAGATGGCTGTAGATGTGTGGCATTATTTCTGAGGACTCTGTTCTGTTCCATTGGTCTATATCTCTGTTTTGGTACCAGTACCATGCTGTTTTGCTACTGTAGCCTTGTGTATAGTTTGAAGTCACAGGTAGCTTGATGCCTCCAGCTTTGTTCTTTTGACTTAGGATTGTCTTGGAGAGTTTTTAGCTCTTGGTTCCATATGAACTTTAAAGCAGTTTTTCCAATTTGTGAAGAAGCTCATTGGTAGCTTGATGGGGATGGCATTGAATCTATAAATTACCTTGGGCAGTATGGCCATTTTCACGATACTGATTCTTCCTATCCATGAGCATGGTATGTTCTTCCATTTGTTTGTGTCCCTTTTGATTTCACTGGAGGTGGTTTGTAGTTCTCCTTGAAGAGGTCCTTAAACCCTTTTTTAAGTTGGGATTCCTAGGCATTTTATTCTCTTTGAAGCAATTGTGAATGCAGTTCATTCTGATTTGCCTCTGTTTGACTGTCACTGTGTATAAGAGAATGCTTCTGTGATTTTTATACACACTTTGTATCCTGGAGACTTTGCTGTTGCTTATCAGCTTAAGGAGATTTTGGGCTGAGACAATGGGGTTTTTCAAATATGCAATCATGTCAGTCTTGAAACAGGGACAATTTGACTTCTTCTTTTCCTAACTGAATCCCCCTTGATTTCTTTCTCTTGCCTGATTGCCCTAGCCAGAACTTCCAACACTATGTTGAATAGAGTGGTGAGAGAGGGCATCCCTGTCTTGTGCCAGTTTTCAAAGGGAATTTTTCCAGTTTTTGCCCATTCAGTATGATATTGGCTGTGGGTTTGTCATAAATAGCTCTTATGATTTTGAGGTACGTTCCATCAATACCGAATTCCTCCTATTGAGCGTTTAGCATGAAGGGCTGTTGAATTTTGTCAAAAGCCTTTCTGCATCTATTGAGATAATCATGTGGTTCTTGTCTTTGGTTCTGTTTATATGCTGGATTACGTTTATTGATTTGCGAATGTTGAACCAGCCTTGCATCCCAGGGATGAAGCTCACTTGATCATGGTGGATAAGCTTTTTGATGTGCTGCTGAATCCGGTTTGCCAGTATTTTATTGAGGATTTTTGCATTGATGTTCATCAGGGATATTGGTCTAAAATTCTCTTTTTTGCTGTGTCTCTGCCAGGCTTTGGTATCAGGATGATGTTGGCCTCATAAATGAGTTAGGGAGGATTCCCTCTTTTTCTATTGATTGGAATAGTTTCAGAAGGAATGGTACCAGCTCCTCCTTGTACCCTGGTAGAATTCAGCTGTGAATCCATCTGGTCCTGGACTTTTTTTGGTTGGTAGGCTATTAATTATTGCCTCAATTTCCAGAGCCTACTATTGGTCTATTCAGGGATTCAACTTCTTCCTGATTTAGTCTTGAAGAGTGTAAGTGTCCAGAAATTATCCATTTCTTCTAGATTTTCCAGTTTATTTGCGAAGAGGTGTTTATAGTATTCTCTGATGGTAGTTTGTATTTGTGGGTCGTAGATATCCCCTTTATCATTTTTAATTGCGTCGATTTGATTCTTCTTTCTCTCTTTTCTTTCTTTATTAGTCTTGTTAGTCTGTCAATTTTGTTGATCTTTTCAAAAAACCAACTCCTGGATTCATTGATTTTTTGAGGGTTTTTTGTGTCTCTATCTCCTCAGTTCTGCTCTGATCTTAGTTATTTCTTGCCTTCTGCTAGCTTCGAATGTGTTTGCTCTTGCTTCTCTAGTTCTTTTAATTGCGATGTTAGAGTGTCAATCTTAGATCTTTCCTGCTTTCTCTTGTGGGCATTTAGTGTTATAAATTTCCCTGTACACACTGCTTTAAATGTGTCCTAGAGATTCTGGTATGTTGTATCTTTGTTCTCATTGGTTTCAAAGAACATCTTATTTCTGCCTCTCATTTTCATATGTACCCAGTAGTCATTCAGGAGCAGGTTGTTCAGTTTCCATGAAGAGCGGTTTGAGATTGAGTTTCAGTCCTGAGTTCTAATTTGATTTCATCAGGGTCTGAGAGACAGTTTATTATAATTTCTGTTCTGTACATTTGTTGAGGAGCAAGCTTACTTCCAATTACGGTCAATTTTGGAGTAAGTATTTATGTGGTGCTGAGAAGAATGTATATTCTGTTGATTTGGGGTGGAGAGTTCTATAGATGTTTATTAGGTCTGCTTGCTGCAGAGATGAGTTCAATTCCTGGATATCCTGTTAACTTTCTGTCTCGTTGATCTGTCTAATGTTGACAGTAGAGTGTTGAAGTCTCCCAAGATATTGTATGGGAGTCTAAGTCTCTTTGCAAGCTCCCAAGGACTTGCTTTTAGAATCTGGGTGCTCCTGTATTGCATATATATTTAGGATAGTTAGCTCTTCCTGTTGAATTTGATCCCCCTTACCTATTATGTGTAATGGCCTTCTTTGTCTCTTTTGATCTTTGATGGTTTAAAGTCTGTTTTATCATATTCTCAGTATTGCAACCCCCCGCTTTTTTGTTCTCCATTTGCTTGTAAATCTTCCTCCATCCCTTTTATTTTGAGCCTATGTATGTCTCTGCGCGTGAGATGGGTCTCCTGAATACAGCAGACTGATGGGTCTTGACTCTTTATCCAGTTTGCCAGTCTGTGTCTTTTTAATTGGAGCATTTAGTCCATTTACATTTAAGGTTAATATTGTTATGTGAACTTGATCCTGCCATTATGATATTAACTGGTTATTTTGCTCGTTAGTTGATGCAGTTTCTCCCTAGCCTTGATGGTCTTTACATTTTGGCATGTTTTTGCAAATGGCTGGTACCGGTTGTTCCTTTCCATGTTTAGTGCTTCTTTCAGGGTCTCTTGTAAGGCAGGCCTAGTGGTGACAAAATCCCTAAGCATTTGTTTATCTGTAAAGGATTTTATTTCTCCTTCACTTATAAAACTTAGTTTGGCTGGATATAAAATCCTGGGTTTAAAATTCTTTTCTTTAAG